GGTCAAACCACGCTCTTAATTACAATAGTATTATTTGCATTTAACAACGTTTCGAATTCTTACATAGAAATAGAAAGTGGAGTCAATTAGAGAAGGCTGAAAAGAATGCTTAGAGTGAAAACAAGATCAACCTGGCCCCTATAAAAAAATTCCTCCTTAAGTATTCCTTTGAAATGTTAAATAACGCTTGCTCGCGACGAAACTTGGTCTTGGTTCGATCTAAAAGTATAATTTCATCGTGTGTGATCAAAGTGAAAGAACAGCAATTAGCAAATTAACAAAAACGAAAATCTATTGCATCTCTCGTGAATATCGTTTTCAATTTAACGAGATCCAGTTAAATATTAATACATAAAGTGATTCTGTGCAGTTTCGAAGAGAGTGACGCGTGAAAGGCAACGGTTTGCAGTTCGGATTGACCTTGCATACCTTCCAACGAGTCATATCGTTCTACGCTGCCTGTTAAAAAACACCGCTTTGCTCTTTCTCTTGAATTCTACCGGAAGTCCCCTAATGTTTCCACTCATAACGTTTTCAATCGTAGAATAAATAATTCCATTGGCTCTTCGATACCATTCTTTACTTAAAAAAAAAAAAAAAAAAAAAATGATACACAAATAACTTAAAGCGCAACGAAGACAAATATATCAAACCTCTCTCTCAAGGGAGGCATTCTCTCGAAGGGAGAGAACGTATTTCCAAAAGATATAATACCAATGTTATTTTTACAATCGTTTTAACGTGTGTGAACAAAGATCGAAAACAATTTGAGAAGACAAAAATCTCCCCAAAAACGGGCGCCAATTTGTAAATTGTGCATCAGCCGGCACAATTTAACCCGGTTAAGAAGAGGGAGTTGGGGAGGGATCGGAGCTCGATGGACACACGAAATTGACCAGACTGGATCTCCCTTTCACCGGCTGGCATTGAGAGTATACGTACGGCGTACAGACAGATGATCACAGTAAAATGAAGTCGCGTCGAACGAGAGTATATGCAAGCTCAATCTGGGTCGTTGCCGGCCAATTATCGCGCGATGCTCTTATTGAGAGATGCTCCCACGCAAACTTTGAAAATTGGAGAATCGATCGGAGAACGAATCGCGAACAACCTCGAGGATGCAGTTTCATTGTACGGAGGGGAGAGGAGGGGAGGGGAGGGGAGGTCGTCGATCATCTTTGAAATACGTAATACGATTTGTTATCATAATTAATATAGAGGGGGGGAGGATATGAATGAGAGAGTTACGTGAAATGAAATTTACGTGGGAATCGTGATTGAGGTCGTTCATTGTTGGGGGAGAGATGATTATAAGGTAATTTAGAAAATCGAAGTTTGCGATGGATGATTATTCTTGTACGAGTATTCTTTTAATAGTATTACGTAAAAGTTTTAAATATTAGGTTGTTGGACGCCAAGTCCATGATCTCGAAGAGTATCTTTTTAAATTCAGAATTAAATTTAGAATTTCGTGTGTTTTATCTATCCTTAATTGCAAAAGACCGGATCCTAAGGAAAATAAGAAATCGTTGGATCAATTTGGAACACCTTTTCTCGTTCCATTTCCTTAAATAAATAGAATCTCGTGTCGGTAGCTCATTTCCAAGTGATAACGTTAAGTGTATTACGAGAAAGGATTCGTACGGACGAATTCATATTCCTCGAATATCGACTCATAAACACTTGAAATTTAATTACTTGAAATTACGCGTCACAGGAGAAATTACGGAAGCGAGTGTTGTCGGGTAATACGAAATATATCGATCAGCAGGGGATCTAAGCAGCGTGCCAATAGAAAGTTGCGAAACGCTGATCGAAGACTAATTTTACGGCAGAAAACGAAGCGTATTTCGCAAAAGTCGAGCGAAAATGTCGAGTATCGAGCACGTTTTCAGAGTTGCCACTTGTCTTTTACCGAATCAAACCTTGTATTCGGTCAGTTTCAAGGTTTCAACGAGATATTGGTATATCGATGATCTCTTTTCTTTTTTCCTACCATCGTGAAAAGATTTCCACGAAACTAAGATCTAAGGTGTTAATTATGGCGTTGAATTCCCTTGGAATATCACATCGTGCTACTAGATATTTACTTCTTTACGTTTCTGAAATGTCCACGTTTATTTCACAGTTTAATTTTAACTAGAAAACAAAACGTCGTGCGTTCACTGTGAATTTGCATTTACTCGTTGTGTTTCACGAAATCAAATTTGCTTCTGTTGTCGAGAGAGAGAAAGAGAAAGAGGGAAGAAACACGTGTAGTTTAGCAGATTATTTCAATTTATGAGATTAATTACACGATCGTTACTCGATCGGTATAATTATTCTTACAAAATCGAGAGTTATAGACGGTACTATAATTAGAGATTAAGCGCGCGCTGGCTAGTTTATTTTATTTCATTCCATTCCATAAACGTGTAATTGATCTATCGATCAAATATTTTTTCGTTTGTTCGAGTAAAATTTATGATAATGTGTAATTAATGGTTAAATATTTATTTAATTAAATTATTGAGAAATAAATATATTTGTTGAAATAATTACCATTGTTATTGAATATTAATTTAACAATATATAATCATTTCGATTTTACAGACGTGTTATTGATTAACTGTAAAGTGATAACGGGTTAGGCATAAGGTAACGGTAGTGCTTGAATGATACTTGAACTTTGAAATTTTTTCCACTTATACAAAGCTGGAATATAAACGAATTATACATTATTATAAATTCTTTCTTTCATCTTAGTCAATTCTTAGTTCTAATTTATGTAATTTTTGTTTCGAATGTACATGCATAATATCCTATTTGAAAAAGAAAGCGAATGAATTAATAAAAAAAAAAATCTCTCTGCTGTGAAATGTTATGAAACAACTTATTCACAATTTTATTTTAGAAATATATAACGAGGCAATAATACAAGTGAAAAATTAAAATTATATTGTGCTAACTTCATAAGAATTATTTATATTGTTAACTTAAAAGAAAATGAACTATCTATAAATTAATTATTTCTGTAATTATTAAGTTAATTTATAATACAGATTAAATTTAAAGTGGAATTTAAAACATTTGTAAATATTTTCCATCCAATATCGGTTAAATCGAAACAACGTACAAAAACTTGAATAAATTTTGATATCGGTATTCGAATAAAATTTGGTATTCGTGGTAAAAGTTTCATTATTTCGTTCAACTGCTATATATATATATGTATAATTTCTGTAGCGTGACCTCAATATCTACATGGGTACTTTTACATAATAATTTCACCATAGAAACTTGGAGTTGAACAACTTTGCGTGTAAGGTATCACTTCTGTTATTGTCAGTTTCGTGTCTAAAAACTTGGTTAATCAGAATTTACAATAACCATTCGATATTATTGTAAATCTACTTCGAATCGATAATTTATTAAAAATACAATGCAAAAAAATATTTGCTTCACTTTAACTACTTTTAAAAATTTTATAACTTTTTACAAAATATTGGCTTCGTCAACTTGTGCCAATTTAATAACGTGTGATATGTATTTATCACGATGAGTCATTTAAGAAAAGATTGCTGATAGCAGTAATCACTTGTATCATAATTACTAATTATGCAAAAGACGTATTAAAAATTGCATGCAGCAGTTAATAATAAAACACTTCTTGTTATATTATCATTCATATTTCGTCACACGTCCATCCATTCCTTTATTCTAACTGATCGAAATATTTCACATTACTTAGAAAAGAAACGAATTTCAATATTTTCCAATGCTCTTGCATAAAAATTAATCGTAGTAAACAATTAACAAATACACGTTAATTAGCTTGCAATGCAACACCTGGATTTCTAAAATTCCATTCTCGTAGAATCAGGGAGAACCGAGGGAAAACGATAATGGCCGACCAACACCTTAAACGTGCAAATTCCAAATGAATAAAATCGTATGATATCCTAATGAGACGATCGAACGTGCAAGAATCAAACACACAGTGAAAGGTATCAAGGGGAGACAATAAAAATTGATCGGCGCTAGAATCGAGGCACTCGAATCGAGAACTTAAGAATGATTTTCAAGAGTGACGAGAAACCAGAACAACCTGCCGGCCAACGTGTCCCGTATACGAGTTACTGCAACGGTAATATAAGAGGACGCGAGAGACAAATTCGATCCACTCCCTCGATCAAAAACCTAACGCCTCGATAATCCTCTCTTTGTCGTCCTGACCAATCGAATAATTACAGATTCTCATCAATTACGTAACCAATTTGTGAATTCCTTTAAAATGTTTCTCAAGACCATTGCAAACGTGTTTTATATATTCTTGTTATTCAAAAATTTTCCTATTTTTGTTATTAAGAGATAATATTTTAATAGATATTAAAATTACTATATTAAAAAAATCATTCCAATTTTAATATCTCTTGCAACTTGAGAATTTCTTTGAACATTTCATTCATCTGAACAAATAAACTATTCAAAAATCATCCCAATTTCAATGTTTCCTCCAATTTTTTCAAAGTTCATAACAAGTCAGAAAAAATAAAAAACTTTACAATAAAATTCATGCCATCCAAAGTTTCTACCATTCTTCTCAAAAAATTCGTTCGAAAATCCTTTCAATTTCCATGCCTCTTCCCCCCCCCCTCTAAAAAAATAAATAAATAAATAAATAGAAATCAAGGCACAACGGAAGCCTGGATAAAATAGTAAGTGGCGAACCGGTCCACTTCACGATCGATTTTCCAGATTCTGGAGAAACCGGGCCAGCCTGGTGGGGAATATTTAGGGGATATAAGGTGCTGTAACGAGACAAGGCGACCGTATATACAGGAGTCGAATAGATAGTGAAAGTCCCCCAGAGCTAACAGGAGTGTAGAGGGCAAGAGGGGGGTAGGAACGGGGGACCCCAGTAAGGTATATGAGGGCCTCAGTTCGAGCAACCGCTGGTACTCTAGCCTCGCTGCCTACTTACATTCACACACACTAACACACCAACCACCTGGAACACAATGCGCACCGTCGCGACGGTACGTATTTCGAAGTGCATCGTCGTACACCTTTCTTTTTTTTTCTTCTTCTTCTAAATTAAGCAACCCTTCGAACCTAATATTCTTCCTTAAAAAGAAAAAAAAAAAAAAAAGAAAGAAAAAAGAAAAAAAATGAGATCTTTTCTACGATCTCCGATTACCGATCATCATTACTCGTTAAATCATTGGTGATTATTATCGCGATTCCTTAGCCTGAAATTTTCATCTCGCGTGTGATGTGATCATCGGTTTTTTTTCATCGTGAAAAAAATAGGAACTGTGCTTGTGATTTGTGCATTGCCGAATGGACCTCGTAAGACGTTGATTAAATCGGCGAATAATTTGGAAACGTTGGACACGTTGCTCGGCCGTGTCCTAGCAAAGAGGAGATCAATTTTATATCGAACGATCTTTATGTGTGAACACGATGTTACGAATACGGACGAAATTTAACGGTCGATAATACTCTCTAAATATCCTAAAAATCGCGAATCAATTATTACAAATTGCGCAACAAACGGTATGCACGCAAACCGAAAAATCACGAAAGCGAGCCGACCGATTTTCTCGGCCGCCTACTCGAAAACATACTTATATAATAGCAGAAACGCGTTCAGGAATTATGTCGGACGGAACGCGTGTCGGCATAAGTTGTAAGCGTTTCTCGTTTCTTCGTGGTCATTCGGGCAGAACTGGAGGAAGTGCGTCGCGCGTGTTGTTAAAACTCTCGAGCTCGTGCAATTGAACAAACGTGTCACGCTCATCCTCCTTATCGAAGGATGAATATATGATACAATAGTTGAAAAGGCGCGATCAGGCGCGATTAAAACCGAGACTTTTACCGTGCACCTTGTCGAACGAGGCGTGAAGGCATCCGGTATCCTTCGAATGCGGTTATCTACTCGAGTCGAGTAGTGGTGTAATAAAGTCACGTCTGGCGGTTAAGGTTCTGGTAACTCCACGGAGGGTCATGCATCACCGAGCTCAGAACAGCTTTCTGCGAACAATTACGATCTATCTTAAGATCAACGGAGTACCGAGTTCTCGATATTGACCCGTATCCTGAAAATTTATAACGGTTTTCGATTTGCTCGCAGAACACCGTTTACCGTAAATTACATAAATCGAGAAGAAAAAATACGAAGCCTGTACGTATCTGTGTCGAAGGTTTTTTTCTTAAACGTAGGCTCGTGTACTGGTTACTTGTGTAACCACGATAGTTTCTGCGAAACATAACTCGCGAGGAGAAAGCGGAAGTAATAAGACGCTGCGATAATTGTTAAAATTACGATCTTTACGAGGTGTTTACGAGTGCACCTGCAATCGATTAGAAAGCAACGATCAAGACTTATCACGAAGATAATTTAATTAATATTTATTAACAATAATAAATTTTCTTTATTAATTCGCTTATTCGTATTCTATTTACTCGTACAAAATTACGAAAATAACGATGCACCTAATCGATGCACCCTATTCATAGTTCCCTTATCTCTAGCCAACCAAACTCGTTATCTTTCGTTAAATCTTTCTGCTCTCGATTTAACGCCACACCTCTTGTCTTCTCCTCCAGGTACTGTTATTGGTAGCTGCCATACTCTCTGTATCGGGCCAGCAATACCAGCAACCGGGTGCCAACTACGTGGACGAGTATTCGGCGTACGAGTCCCCGAGACCGGCCCATCCGACCCCCCGAAGTTACCCCGTTGATTCCGCGCCTAACAGGCAATCGGCCGGCCCCACCACCCCCAAACCAACCCCTGTCGCCATCTTGAAACAGATCAACAGGCACAACGAGGACGGGTCGTACACGTACGGGTTCGAGGGGGCGGATGGCTCGTTCAAGATCGAGACGAAACTACCCACGGGCGAGGTGAAGGGTAAATACGGTTTCGTGGACGACACCGGGAAAGTGCGGGTGGTCGAGTACGGGGCGAATCAATACGGTTTCCAACCGGCCGGCGAGGGTATCACGGTCGCGCCACCGACCCTGGTCGACGAGACGACCAGCAAAGAGCCACTCCAGCCGCACACCTATCAAGAGGAGCAGTACCAACAACCACCCCCACCGAGGCAACCACCTGTCAGAGCGCCTGCGCCCCGCCCCGCGCCCCTTCAGCAACAACAGATTCAATACGAGCAACCGGCCTACCAACACCCAACCCAGTCCCACACCCAGGCTGTCTACTCGCCGCCGTTGCCGCCCAGACAGTCGAGCGGAGTCCCGAAACCGCCGATCTTCACGCCCGCGCCCCAGTCCCCCATCGCCAAGCAGAACCCACTCCTTCAACAGGAGGAAGCGGCCCCACCGTCCCAACTGTACAACCAAGGACCGGCTCAATTCGGCCCCGCGCCCGTCCAAGAGCACCGCTCCCAACCGCAACCGCGCAGCCAGAGCGGCGGTATCCTCGACCAGCTGGCCAGGGATTACGCCCTTCCCCAAGGCGTCGCGCCACCCTTGCACGACATCAGTTTCGGTTATTACTAGAGAATCATCTAGTCCCTCCCTCGTGTTCGTATACTACGGTACACTCGGTATATCGGTCCGTAAACGTACGAAGACGCGACGCTTCGACGGAGGGGAAACGGTTTCTGATCGTTTTCAACGTAGTCGGATCGCAAACCGTGGCCCATCGATCGACGGCCGCCATCGTGATTACGCGTAGTAGGTCGCGTGTGTCATTACCGGGGGAAGCATCGAGAACTCGAGAATTAATTCGATTCGTTTTTTTCGTTCGATCCTTTTTCTTTATTTTTTTTTTTTTTTTTTTTTTTTTGGAATATGGAAGAGCAAGGAACACGAAAGCGTTCTCGACTTTTTCTTCGGTAATAAGTTATTCGTCATGGCTGCCTACCTACGGAGTCGTGCTCTCGATTTCTCCGACGAGGGTACGATGAGTTCATTCTTGCCATTGGAATTAATTTAACCGCGATGAGCGGTGTTTGATGAAACGTGGCGTGGAAACGTAAAGAATGATCTCCGAATATTTAACCGAAATTATGTCAAAACTTTATTTCGTCGAGAAATTTTCGACACTGATGAATTCTGATTCTTTCGTTTCCATCTCACGAAATCGCGAAAAAAAGAGCGCGTGAAAATCGTTGATGATGATGGACGAAGGAAGATTGTAAAAATGTTGTAAATAAAAAATTCCACGGTAGGCTTCCGTGCTGGTTTTTAATCCTACAGAGAGCGCAGCTTGCACCCGTTATCGGCGGTACCGTTAATTAATTTCGATTTCAAGGAGAACCTCAAGCTGCGTCTTCGAGTACGCGTCTCGCGGGACCGCACAATAAATTCAGCACGCTTACTATATTCTAATTAAGATAAGGTTTACAAGGTGAATCGGATTGGAAAATAAATTGTCAGATCTTCCATTATTCTGTGTACAACTCTGATATTGCGTTATTCTATCAAACGTAGATTCAAAAGTATTTTTCACTCTCTCGTTATATACACGTAGCAAGTTGCAGATAAATACGTTCCGTTTTAATCTTTGTTAATACACGATGATGATAAGGTTAGATAATGAAGAAATAAACGTTTCCAACCTATGAACATTATGATTATTCGAACTGTATCCGCCAACTTTCTAATTACGCCTATTTTTCCAACCAGTCCAACTCGTATAACCAGTCGCAACAAACGACCTTTCGAATTATTTATTCCAGGATAAAAATAAGAGAAGGCGATCGACGGGCTCGAACCGTATCAAGTTTGTACCGGAACTTGTCTAGATTGGAATTTCAGTTACGAAATTTCCACCCCGACCTTCGCGTTTGTTCGACGAGGACGCCCGTTTCACGTTGGACTACAACGTGTAACAATGGTATCGTGTGATTATTACGTCAGATTTTAAAACAGGAACAGATTCAACCATCCTGTTCACCTGCAATTACAGGGGAACGAGTGTGAAAGTGGTATAAGTCAATTTTACTCCTCGTTCCAAGGATTTAAGTGTTTAAATCTTTGTAAAAGATTGTGATAGGAAATTTTAACCTTTGTGTTTTTTTTTTTTAACTTTCATCCTTTTCATTCTCACTTTCATTTCATTTTTTATTAAGAAAAGGGAAAGAGAGAAAAAATAAAATTTCACGTAAAAAAAAGTATTTGAGAGAAAAAGCACGTTTAAATAAAAATTATTTTTTTCAACATTTGTTTAAATTTTTAATATATAAATATACTAGAATTATATCAATTGAAGGAATGAAATATATTATACTAAGAAATATACTAAGAAATATAATAGAATTTTAGTCACAAGAAATAATTTTATAGTTTTGCTCGTGAATGTTTCACTTACCATCGGATCCATTGGTGAATGTATCCACATCGAATGAACGAAGCCTGTGGTGACGGCAACCCGGATCACGCTTCTGCAAACCTGGTGTTAATTCGCCGTTGCCTTTTCTCGATTGTAAAAATGTCGAAACTCGCGCGAATTGAATAATAGGAATTCAAAGTTACGTTCTCACGTAAACGCGAACAAGCTTAAAAGCGGGACGAAGTTTTAATTTTATCTTTCAGATCTCGGCCAAGCCGAAATTCGTACGTTCCCAAGACGCGTCCTTTTGTTGCAATTTACCAGTTTTCTACGGTACAACGACATTTCCTCCGACATTTCCCAACACCGGTTATTCTTTAAACAGCTCGAGAATCACGGTGTTTTAACTCGATGAAAGAGATTTCGAAGAAAAATACGAACCCATTGTATTTTTTCACAAGCATGAATATTCATTTTTCCGTTTTGGCGAGCATCGTAAAATATCTTTGAACACGTTTGTTACGTATCCTCATAACATAATTTTCAAGATTTTAAATTTTAGCTTCTTTTTTTAATCGAAAAAAGAAATATATTTCGATTCAATTTTAAAATCTTTCCTTAACGTTAATGATATCCCATTCTTTATAAAAATTAATTTATTACATATCGATTATATGATAAATTACTTTTACATGCAAATCCTCCTTCCATTGATATGTTTCAAAATTAACAGAGACAGAAACAAACGAAACAAGTAAATTAATTTTTGACTCACCGATCCCGATCCTTCGTCCTTGTTTTCTCGATTCGATCACCTTGCGTGAAATTCTGTAACAAGAATAAAGAAGAGATTGAAATTACGTAGAATGGAAGATAAAATGAGGCACGTGGCACGAAATTCAAAGGGACGTATTAGTATGAAGATGGCGTTAAGGATTGCAGGACAAATGACAAACGACACGTTGGCATTGTGCCAATCGTTCGTGTCGCGATGCACCTCCGCCCGAGGTGAGCATTACTCCATGTGCATTGACCTTCTTCATCGTTGCATCGAGGTTACAGCCATCACGTTCGCGGCTCAGGTGTAACGCGTTACACGAAGATTCGTACTTTGCATAATCGCGCACAACAGAACAACTCGAATTTCAAGGATAGATTTACGATCTTCGAGTATTATAAAAAAGATTCTTGCCGTAATTTTTGATTAAGGAACAATTAACGATCTAAATTTTCACTCATAGAGTTTTCGCTTAAGAATTAATATTTCTTTGTGAAATCTCGGAAGAAAGAAGAGGCAAGTATTATATTTGGAATAAAATTTTGCATCGAAATTGAAGGAAAAAAGAAAAGTTTTAAATTTAAAAGGCTTTGCAACGAGAATCGAAGAGGGAAAATTCTGAAAAGTAATTTCTGAAAAGAAATGATATCTACCCACGCGCAAAATGATTGAATCTAGATTCAGAGAAAGTAATCATTATCAAGATACTGCTCGCACTTCCTTCCGCGTTCCAAGTAATTTTGAACCGTTCAACCGACTATTCCATTCCCAATTTTGACAATGACGAATGATAATCACGAAATGGAAATTACGGGGGAGGAATTGCCGTTCGTTAACCGAGATATATAAAACCGTATCGGCCGAGAGAAACGACCGATGTTCGTTATCGTCTAAGCGAGTCACGCAAAATGTGCCCGCGGGTTTCAACATTGTAGTTGCCCATAGTTATACAAGAACTCCTACTTTGATGGAATTTATCGTCATCGTTGAAATCGTCGTCGATTGATGCAACCTATTTCGCGACCTATTGAATGGAATTTCACGTAAACGGCAACACGTTTCAACGAGAACTTACGTTTAATAAACATTAGGTAGAAGCATCCATTATTAAATTATCGATGCGCTCTGTTTCGGATCTGTAAGATCGCGAAAGAAATTTTTGCGTCAAAGGATTTCGAGATATAGATCTGAGTACGTTTCATTTTAAATTAGTTTAACAGGCGATCGATGTTACGCACATTTAAATTAATACGATTAAGGGAAAGTACGGGATATTAATTTAGAGGTTATGTGAGATTTCCGCAAAAAAAAAAAAAAAAAAAAAAAAAAAAAAAAAAAAAGAGAGAGAAACTTTAAATTGGTTCTTAAAGTTAATTACACGCGTCGATATCAATTTGAAATTTTTATGTAATGTTGGTAAAGAAAAAGGATAAGAACTATTTCGAGATAAGGAAACAAAGAAATTGTAAATGAACTCTTACAGCTGCGAACGCGAAAACAGCCTCGTGAAAATAACTTTCCCCTTAGGAAAGTTCTAAGAAGGCCATTTGAGTATCCGTTGAATTAGTTTATCGTCACGTTAGAAAATATTGCAGTATGTGTATAATAATATGTGTATCGACGAGACGCATGATTAGAGTGATATATACGAAGAGCAACAGACGTTAGAAATAACATAATTTGACTTTTTTTTACGATTCTCATAATACTTTGGTAATTACGATAATTTATTATACACGAAGTTTATTTTTTCTTTTATTTAAAAGATAATATATTTTGCAATATTATCACCGATATTTAAATATCAATCAACTTCACATTTCTATTGTCGCACAAACAAATTAGAGAAAAATGTAATTTATAAAAATATTTTATGTAGATAAAATTATTGAATGGATCGAAATACATTTCACATCTCTTTATATTAAATATTCATCAAATTCTACATCCTACGAATTATACAATTCGAAGCAAAACGAACTGCTCTGATGAAATACGCACAACATTATAGTAACATTGAACTACCGGTTAGGGACGAGTTAGAAACGGTGAATCGGAATCCTGTTGCGAAGGACGAGTCTCGTAAACGAGTCTCGAGTTGTGGATCCATTCGCCTGATCTTCTCATTGATGATACCGAAAGCGAGCTGGAATCGTGGAGTGATCTCGGTAATGAAAGTGGGTGAATAAGTGAATTTTCTTCCGAGAAACCGGCTCCTCGATCAGATATAAATCATCACCGATAAAGCAGGTTGCTAGTTATTGATTCCGTTTTACATCGTTCAACATCGCGACGATATACCGATTAAGAAATGGTATAAATTTATGGATAAATTTAATCGCGTTTCCTCGCTGCACAAATATTTATATGTGATTTCAACGTAAAGATTTCTGCCTTTCACCGATAGTGCGAGACAGAAAATATATCACTTCCTAACTCCATTTGTACTCATCTATACGTATTATATCGCAGAAATATTTGGATATTTCCTCATTACCATTAAATAACAAATTTCTGTTTTCATCAAAAGTCAATGTTAATTTGCCGAATGAAAAACTAACGAGATCGTGTTTTCGAGATACACGTATATTTCTCACCTAGCGAGAGCAATTTAAGTTAAATTTCTCAACAATTTTCGAGAAATAACCGAATAATTCGAATAAATCGAGTAAGACGGAATTATAAATAATATGAATAATATGAGTGAAAGCGAGAAACGACGATCACTTAATAATAATATAAGTTCAAGTGTTGTTCCATACGCGATGTGTGAGACAATTAATTATGATTAATATATATCTTTCGAATTAAGATGCAACATGTTCAAGACGTTTTGAATGGACGATCGTGCCACGCGATATTCTCACACACTTTCTTCGAACAGATTCGTGCGTGGATAGTATTGTGATAAATACGATTAATTAATTAAACACCAATTTTTTTTTTTTTTTTTTTGAGAAATTATCGATAACGATTTAACATTGAAGATTGAAAAGATCTGCTCGAAGATCGTGCGGGTCGTATTAATTGCAGATAATAAAGTAACGCGATATCATCTTTCCGTAATAAATTTTTTAACGAAGAATATGCACGCAGATATATATTAAGATACAATACAAATACAATTGAAGAATAAATCACCATGTATAAATTACTTAAACGAGGCAAGCATATTATCTGCAAATAACGTCAGTTTAAAATATCGTTATATCATTAAACAGATAAAGAATAAAGTTTCAAAATATAAATTCTTAAACTACTTCTTAAATTTCTTCAAAGTATTTATCCACTTCTCCATCATCTCCATCAATATAATTCTTATCTAGTGTGAATTATAATCCTATAAATTTAAAAAAAAAGAACTCTTTTAAACTATCTGCTATTTCCAAAAAGAAGAGGGGGAAAAAAAAAAAAAAACAAATACAAATTATCCTCACGTTCGTTCAACCTCTCTTACTCTCGAAATAATCCTCGAAATCGAGTTACATCACCGCGCCACCGAAAAAAATCGGAATGCAATCTACGCGTCAAAGGATAACACTTCCCTACAAACGCACGCGGCGTTCAGATCATTATCGATTCTGGCGATTATAAAACTGATTCTGATTCTCTCGATCATGGTGCTCGAACGACCTACATACCACCCCTCCCCCCCTCCCTCCTTTTTCGCGCGTATGCGTACACGCACAATGCACAACACGCAAACACACGCTTCCATACAATTTGGCAACGCGAGGCCCCGTGGCGTTCTGGTTTGGCAATGGCCATGCCGGCGACCGGCCTCACGAGAATCTAATTTGCGGCTTGTTACAACGCCGTGTGTCCAGGAGGAGACGCGGTTACTAGCCCCCACTATAAGCAAAACCGTTCGTATAGGTTATAAAGGACCGAGCTCCGTACTATACGACTGCACTCTCTCAGTGAAACTCTTGGAGGATCGTTCCACGGCTACCCTGTACCCTCCTTCTCTCCCAACTCGTGCGCCATGAGGATTATATCTTTGGTACGTACTTTGGATTTTCGTTTTACGTTGATGAAACGCGCCGTTTCTTTGCGCGAGCTTTGACAGAGGGTGCGAGTATCGTATTGGTATTGGATAGGTGTCCTTTCAGAGTTCATTCGCGGTGTCCTTCGAGTTGAGAAAGAATAGGCGTGTGCACTTTCGTGTTCGATGACGTATCGTATATATATAGGTTTTTACGGTGACTCGGAGATGTTAAGAATTTATGAATGAATTTATGTATTGTATTTATGTTGTGTAGTGAAAATTGAATTTGGATCGAGGGGTTGGTCGATTGAGTTTTACTTTCGCGAGATTAAATTTGAATTGGGCAGATTATTCCTCGATACGATGCAAAATAATTTATAATTGGTAATTGGTATCGATAATTTTAGAGAATTGACAATTTGTAAATTGCAGGTTGTAAATCCGAGGCTGTACACAAGTTTCTACAATTTTGTTGTTGTTGTTGTAGGAGAATCATCTTCGTAAACTTCACTTGTGTGAAGTTGTTGTTTAAATTTGTTATTTAAGAGAATGTATGAATTAAGTGATTATAAAGTTTTGTTAACAATTGTTGATTCGATTCTGGAAGAAGATTCAGAACGAGGTGGAACTTTACGCGGAATTTAAATGTTTTTAAAAGGAATAATTTTTGCTCTCAGTCGTGCGCCACTCGTTTAAAATTCTGTCTCCGTGTTGATCCTCGAAATTTGAAGTGTTAGTTGAAAATTACGCAACGAAGTGTGCTTGGAATACTTTCGACAGACTTTCGCCCCCATGTTAGGAGTAATGTTAAGTGATCAGTGTATATTAAGCAAACAAAGTGGTTGCGATATTACGTTTACCCTGTTTAGAATCGATGAAAGGACGATTAATTTGCCGTCCAATGCAAAATCCATCGACGATTAATTTCAAATTTAATTTTTCTATTTTACGTATCTTTCTACCACGTATGTTTATTTTTAAAAATAATTATTCGGCGTAAATGCTGTAAAATGCTTGTAAAAGCTGAATGAAATAATAGAAATTATTTTTCTCCTAAAAAAAAAAAAATCTTACTTTTCACATCTCTTACAATTTCCTTTCTAATTCACAAAATTACTTTCATTATATTTCACAATTTCTCAAGTTATTATCACTCGTTATTATTTGCACGTAGTTGCACGAACCTAATTGAAAGGAATTCCAAATAGAACATAAAAAATATTCTATTTTAATATCAAAAACTTTACTAATTTTTCTTCAATTCGAAGAAAACGAAAAATGAAAATGTTTGCATTCCTTTCTCACGGAACATTCTGATCGATTCGATTAACAATCTATTTTCTATTCAACTGATATATAAGAAATATATATTATATAAATTTGTTTTGTATTTCTGTGTGTAACCATTTATAGAAAAGTAATTAACGAAAGTATTTTTCCTCGTGAAAGAAGGGAAGAGTTCTCTCATTCTTAACATCTATGGGAACTTTCATCCATTCTGGTTTTCACTCATGAACTTCTTTCGTGAGATCGAACGATTAATTATGCGAAAACCAACGTAAAACTGTAAACCCAAGCTGTAAACGCAATTCAATTTCTCCCTTTTTCCTTTGTATCGTTTCTTTTTCGATGAAAAGAATTATTTGTTATTCCTTTGTTCCAATTTGCTATAATTATCTCTCTCTATTCGGAGAAGCTTATCCATCGTACTCTGATTTAAATAATAATAATTCCAGTTGCAATTGATCGATTATTTCTATTATAATTGAAATTGATTATTGTTTAATTTTAGTGCAATGCAATTACAATTAGAAAAATATCTTTTTTTTTTTTTTATATACTTTCAACTTACGTGAAATTGTTGGGAACGTTATTAAAAGAAAAACAAGAGGCTAACTGATCGAGGATCAGCTATCTAGTAGACTGGGAAGTTTTATTATAGCTACTTTCACCAATTTAACGCACAACCTGTCATTTTACAAATTTTTTTTTTCATTCCTTTTTTCTTTTTTTTAATAAACCAATGTTTAATCTCATTGTAATCCTAACATAATTAAATAACATTTCACAAATAAGAATAATAAAGAAAGTAATTAACGATTACCATGATATTCTAAAAATTTTTGTAATTCTGTTAAAATCATTGAGTATAATTATATAAAAATTGTTATAAAACAATCCTTAGATTTTTATTTTATTAAATCGTATAAATGTCAAAGATTTATATAAGTCACAATACACTTATTATATTTATATTAGACATAAATCACTATTGTCTAATTGATCGATTTCTTCGTAGTGAAAATCTACGTCTCTTTTCATTCTATCCTGTTTAATAGATCATAAATAACAGTGGATGTACGCAATAGAAATAAACTAACTATTATGGTATTACTAACAGGTTATGAATATTGCATCTTTTTCCATTGTTAGCCATCCAGAAGTTTAAATTCGTTATCATTGTTGAATCATTAATATTGAATCGATCGAGTCAAATTTTTACACGTTTTGTTTATTTTCCACTGTTCACAATTATATAATCCTCGTTAGGATCTTAAAGATCGGTATCTCGTGCGAACTGATTTTCGAGATTAACAGGGTATTGCATCTTTAGCGAGCCGAACTTATAAATCGTGCAAGCGTATACCATAAGAGTGAAACTTCTCGTTTTCTACTTCACGATTACAAAGAATCACCGACTTTCCACCAAATAACGCGGCTGAGACGTTGAATTTTCCGTATAATTTTCCACATTGCACTTTTCCAAAGTTAAGTTGCAGTATTTACAAAAAAAAAAAAAAATTATTCCCCATTTAAAAATAATTCAGTAATAAAATTTTCTAACGTTAAACCATCGAGAAATTTTAGAATAAATTATTGTATTGGCATTAACGTTTCATTGTCTCATTAGCAAAACTAATACATTACATATACGGAGCAATAGCAACACCAATTACCTTGAACTATAAAACTCGTAAAGATACACCGCAGAATCCACGTGGCAGAAAATATTTTTCACGCTTAAACCGCTTACACCTCTATAATTTCATAATAACTGTTCCGTTAAAATATCTTACAATTTACATTCTAGAACAGTTTCTTAACCATAAAGCAAACTTACTAATTTCCTCAGTGAAAAAAAAAAGGGAATATTTAAGAATATTTAACAAAAATTCGCCTCACTTTTCGCTTCAATTTACAATTATACCTATTCACTTCACCTAAACTTTAAAATTAACATATATATATATATACACGCAATTTTTAATTCAATCCATTTATCATCTATAGATACGATTTATATCACCACTATCGATAAAATTTTCTAAAGTAACAAAGAGAAAACGAATGGTTTGTTCAGGACTATTGTAACTCCATCTTTCGACCGTCTTCAATTACCAATGAAAAATACATATAAGCAATTTTTTAATTCACTCGATTCAGTCTATTATCTATATGGTTCCGTGTTCGCATTAACATAACAAAACATAACGAAACGAAAGTGAACCACGTACGAAAAAAAAAAAAACTATTGATACTCTGGACTACATCATCGATCGCTAAGGGAAACGTGCGCGTCATAACAACGATGCATCGTTTTTGACTCTCGTTGGCCAATCTCTATACGCCAAGGCCTATATTCTATGCCCGATAGAAAACCATTGGCGGAGAAACTGGCCGCCGATAAATTGCGAAAGCGAGGCTAATACGTACAAATACAAGGGTAAATCTCGGTTGCTTTCCTCGGATATAAACAGTCATCAAATCAGTTGGCTCTCTACGAATCACGACACGAATCCTATCCTTCCTTCGAGCACAACCGCAATTCGTTCTTTGTTAAAAGCCGGTTCACGATCGTTTTTCTCGTTGCACAACGGGGGGAAAGAATAGCCATCCGTTCTAATGAAATTCGACAATTAGAGATTACCGATCTCTTGTTGCGTTGTTGTTTGCGAACTTTAATCGTTCTCAAAACACGATTTTAGATTTAACTCTCTAATCGAGTTTCTCGAATTCTTATTTGACAAATAATAACACTTATTTGTTATTAAATTGGAAATTATAACGTCTTTCGAAATTAAAAAAATTTTTTAAAAATAAATCCCTATTTATAACCCCCTCCTATTCCTTTCTAATCTTATTCGTAAAAATTTAATTTTACACGATTTAATATCCTATCCTATTTTCGAATTAGTTGTATCTCAACAATGAATAATTTTCGTTCTGACAGGCCTCAATCACTTCCACCGTCATGCACTTGCGAAACCCTTCCCCCCCTCCATTTTAGATTTACTTCATTTAACGTCTAATTAAAGCACGCGGTTGGACGAAGTTTGACGAGACGGAAAGATTGGGAAACGCGTACGGTTAGACTGTTAATTAAGGGAGTTTATTATCGTATATAAGTTACAGACGCCGTATATTATAATGATCCAAAATTCCGTTGATGAGCACGTGATACTTTTCGCATCAATGCGAGTCTTCCTGCACGAGAATATATATTCTCGCTCTCACTTTTTCCTCGGTCTTGCTGTCTAATGAGCCTGCGAAGGCGTGCAAAAACGGGAAAGTCTGTGCTAAAATATAACCGTTTACTGGAAACTGTTACCGTCTCTCCGTTTCGCGTCACACCGATGCGATGTGTACTTTACAATGTACCGACAACCATTTAGCTTTCAACGTTCTCCAACGTCCTATAAATTTTTCATCGATCATGTTCTTTTGTAATTTAATTAATTACAGGACGACGAATTACAGGAGTCGAATCGTGACTTAAAGATGAGTATAAATATATATTCACAGACTCTGACTGTGAATGAATTCACCAATGAACGAGGAAATTTTATTCTACGTATTTTTTAATTATTTTGAAACACTATGTCGTATTTAGAAATAGAAAAAAATTCACTTGTGCTCGAAACTTTGAATAATTTCCACACATTTTTGCATTGTGGAATCATCTTCCTGTTAACTTTATTTTATTTTTTATTGGAATATTTTATTATTATTATTTT